TATGTTGTATTTTATCAGGGACGTCCCTGATTTTATTCAGGACTTATATTAATTAGTGTTTTCCATTAACCCGTGAAATGCACTTTAGCGCAATTAGTATAAATTATACACTTTGTTTTTTAGTACAAGTCAATTCAGAAGTACGTATAGAAATAGTTTTTCAACCTCTTAGCAATACGAGACTTTATTATTAGCTGTTCAACGGATATGTGTAATCGAGGCGAATAGCCGGAGAGGTCCGTAGAAATAGGTTTTCAGGCTTATAGGAACATTTAGATAATTTATAATAAAATGTTCAACAAATGTTTGGTTTATCTCCAGTGTAATCGAAGCGAATAGCCGGAGAGGTCCGTAGAAATAGGTTTTCAGGCTTATAGGAACATTTAGATAATTTATAATAAAATGTTCAACAAATGTTTGGTTTATCTCCAGTGTAATCGAANAATTAGCTATAATTTTCAATCCAAAATTGATACTTAATGAAAGCTTTTCTTGCTTTATTTTAGTGTCAACTCTGGGGACGCTTACTTCGTCACATGTTTGGGCTGACATTGGGTAGTGGGGATTATGGCCACTTGACCATTGATCACAGTGGCATGTTGTTCCGCCTGCACAGATCATTTCGGCATTTCTCTAACCAAGGCTTCGAAGCCTCTCATAAATTACACAGAATGCTGTACTCCCGAGCCACCAATCATGATATGAAAAAGAAGGGAGAATCACGTAAGATAAAATTTGAATTAATATAATATGACAATTTATCAACTAACATATATATTTATAACGTATATTTATTTATTTATTTTTATTTTCCAATACGGCCGCCCCTCAACAGAGGATTATTGCCCGGGAGGTCAGGAAATTACATGTACTCTGTGATCTTTTTTTTTAAAAACTTCAATGCTGGAGGCTGGCGAAAAAGCATTTTCAGGCAGTGAGTTCCAAAATTTTACAGTTCTTGGAAAAAAGGATAGGTTTTCAGATTTATTTTTGTACATAATAGTTTTAAGGGTATGGGCTTTCGTATGACGGCTAACTYGGTCCGGCTTTGCCAGGAGCTCTTTAGCATTTACTGCAACATGGTTGTTGATGATTTTGTACAGCAGGGTGACACGTGAGAGTTCTCTTCTCTTCTCATTAACCAATTTATTACCAAATATTCACCTCAACTGCAATACAATATAGGTCAACTCATCTATTTATTTGTTCTTTTTAATCACTTATTTATCCATTATTATTTATTGGTTTATGTTCACTATTTCTACACAGTGCAACAAATCCTAACTCACTGGTTTTCCGATAAACTTCTTGACCTACGTTATCAATTCCGAATGGCTAAAGAATGCATCGAAAGTGGTATGTGTATTAAAATATATATTATAATCATGGCTATTTTGCAAAGACTTTGTACATTGTATATTCTACTATGTATGTTAATGTATCTACTATCAATTAGATTAGATCCTTGGTAGGAAATAGGGAATTTACTTCATTACATGCATTATGATTAGGCAATTAGCATAAGTATGATTATGATGATATATTTCTACATTTGTACTACCTTAAATAGGTTGTTCACATTTTAAATACCGTGGCTGTGGATGGGGATCAAAGGATTACCCAACAATTAACTGGACCATTGAAGATAAAGTCTGGATCAATATCCTGGATGAGTTATTTACAGATGTGTTTGGCAGTGATAGTTTAGAATACACATATGAGAAAGGCAAGGGAACAAAGATCTCTGACCAGTCAAAGCCGACATGTAAAGTCTATAACCATGACAAATGGGAAGAAAAATATGACCACAAAAAGAATGCAGTTAAAGTTAAGCTCCCCTCGACACCTGTAGTCAATCTTCTCAAGCTCCTCCAACCTGAGGTATCTGATAAAGGCCCTTGCAGTGATGAAATTGACGACAGTGATGGTGACAGTGATGGTGACAGTGATGGTGACAGCGGTGATGACAGAGATGATGACATTGATGATAACAGTGACACTGGGAAGGACAGTGACAGTTACAATGACACCAATGTTTTGGACATCAGTGAGCTTGATGGTATCACCCATCTGGATAGCGATGATGATGGTCTTAGTGATCAGAGCAGCACAGAGCACTTTGAATCTGAAGTGAATAGTTCTGTTGGTAATGACATACAAATCATTAAAGATGATGATGATGACAACAAAAGTATGGTTACACCTGATGATTCACCTTCACAGGAAAGTGTGTCCCTGAGTACTATGTCAAATTATCAAAAAATGAGGCCCAATCTCCCACTTCAACAAAGTCTTCCATATTTGACATATAATTGTAGATTGTCAAGACTAGAGCAAGCTTCAACAGCGGTTCCAGCCATTGCCACTAGTATCAGAGAGTCTGATGTCAAGCCAATATACCATACTTTTGTCCCTACAGATCCAACAAAGCTCAACAAGAGACCATGTAGTAGCATAGTATCCAAGGCAGAAAGATTAATTAACCAGAAAAACAAAAATGTTCTTGGAGTTGAAATTGGGTGTATTGGATATTTTGACAAAAGTGGGTTGACAGTTTTGAGGGACTACTGTTCATTGGCAAAAACAAGTGCAGATGTTAGTGCAGAAATAAAATGGCTAGATGGCATCAATCAAATCTCACATA